TGTCCTTTCTGCGGTAGCGGCTGCACAACAGCTGCAATGCACCCGTAGGCACAACACAGCAAGAGCAGCGCAGTGCACAACAGACGACGCATGTGGATCTTCTTGAAAGCTTACTCACCAAAGAGTGTGTGTTTGTTTGTGTATAGCTGTGTCAAAAATAAAAAAAGCAGAAATGAGAAAAAAAAGAAGAGAAACAGATATGTTAGGTACAGTATAACGTCATCTTTGTCATTACCCACGAAGGCATAGAGAGAGATAAAGAAAAGAAACAACAACCATGCTGCATTATTAACTGCAGGAATGTGAATCTTCTGTCTTGAAAGCGCCTAAACCCATATACCCCTCAAAAAAAGCCCAATAAAAAAAGAAGCAATGTAAAATTTTGAAGCCCAAGTGTCTGTGTCCATATACACTGTTTAATGCTATTCATTCCTACCATATTACGTTCACACATGCATCAACAAACAGTGGAACACCTAAATTGGAAAAAGAAGGAAAAAAAAACATTTATAAATTATTTTAGCCCAAGAAGACATGGTAAAATAAACTCCATATACCATTAGCAATTATGAGAATTTGTTTTTTCCAATGGTACGAATCACACGGCCAAGCAAGTAAAAAAGAAAAAAAACAACCAACTGACTGCGATGTAATGCGGATATACGTGCACAGTCAAAAAAGGCCGTAATGAGCAGAAAAGGTTTGTTTATTATTATTACAGGTACATATGTGTGTGTATAGATGGGACTCATGGGGATGCCAGAGCCACCAGAGCCGAGAAAAGAATCAAAAGAGGGATTTGGTATGAAGCGGCAATACTGCTGTCAGCACCCACAATAACAATGGTGGTCGCCTGGTTTAGCGCTTGTCCCATCTGAGTGTTGTTTAGTTCCGTCAAAGTGGCAGGAACAGCAGCAGATGCGCTTACATTCTCTGGTATGCTCGATGTTGTGTGAATGTTATTCTCGCTGCTTGGAATGGTTTCATTCCTCTTCTCATCGACGGTGGAAACACTTTTTGGATTATGAGTAGGATCCTCTGTGGGTTTTGGTCCATCACCTCTCATATCTTGAGAAGGAGACTGTAATAATGTTCCTTGCACTTGTTCATTGCTTTCAGTTGTATTGTTCTTATCCTCCTCCATTCTGGAGGAAATGTGCCCCGAAACAGCAATGGATTCAGATGCGACAGGCTTGGAGTTGTCAGTGTTGGGCAACTTTTCCACTTCAGGGTTATTGGGACCACTTTGATTCTCTTGTGCAGGTATAGAAGGCTGTTCCTGTTGAAGATCACTGGGCTTCTTTTGTGCAACCATCTGCGGCTGTTGCGGTGAAGACCATCACTATTGTTGATGTTGCTGTTTGGAGGTTGATTCTCCTCCCCAGCAGGTTGTAGCTCAGGTACAGCTGGAGGATGTAGATCAACCTCCTTTTCACCCTCTGCAGATGAACCGCGTTGGTCTCTTGCCTGTAATGAAGCAGGAGATACATGTGATTCGACATTTTCTTTATCAGCTACAGCTGAACCCCTTTGGTCTACAGCCAATGCAGGAACATGATGTTGAGGCTGGGTCTGTGACGCCAGTCCGGATTGTGTGTTGGATTTCTCTTCTTCTTCCGCCTTCCCATTCGCTTCTTGTTCGTTCTTTTTCCGATCCTCTTCTTCGCGTTGCTTTTTCTCTTGTGCCTTATCTTCTGCTTCCTTTTCTTTTTTTATTTCGAGTTTCACATCCTCGTCATATTCAATTGTGAAGTTAATATCCCTAACTTCAGAAAAGTCATTGCATACTTCAGTGTAGTTGGGACACAAGATACTTCCACTTGCAAACTCTGTGCTGCCCGTGACATCAACCTTCCCATCTTTGCATTCTTGCCAATCCTTAGTACCACTGTACTGTACCGATACCTTCTTGGTGTTTTTGTCACACTTCACTTTCGCACAAATGTCACCCACAAATGGGCCGTCTTCGTTTGGTTCTTTCAGTGTCAGATTCTCACCTTTCAGGCATCGTGATTCCTTCCCCACAACACTACCAGGCATCTGGGTTTCGGTACCTTTCTCACAACTTGTTGAAGAAAATGGTTTAATAATGGGATAATCATCCATCAAATCTTTCTCAGGATCACTGGTAATTGAGTTAAACAATATTAGATAATCCAAAGGGAGTTTTTTCTCAATTTCTTTCGGCATCTCCTTCGTGCACCTCCCAAGTGCAAAACGATCAGAAGTGCATTGCACAGCAGGTTTGACTTCATCACAAAACATTTCGGAGTACTTCTTGGGTATTCGTTTTTGCGTTATTATTTTGTCTTTGTCTTTACCCTTCAGAAACTCACAACCAACATTCTTACCCCAACTCATATTTTCTGCCATGTCAAAATTGGCGCTGTAGAATGGCATAGAATCAAAAACAGCAAGTGTTAGTGCTGTGTAGTACGCCCCAGTCACATGTTTGACGTTAGGGTCAGAGTTGTACGGACTCATCAACTCACCCTTCGCAATAAGGCGTTTCCAGTGTAGAGGTGCGTTGTCACCGGGTTTATTTTGCAAAGTCACTCCCTTAATTTCATTATAATCAGAGCAACCGTAGTGTTCTTTCACCACTTTATCAAGAACAGTCTTGGATTTCGCCAAAAGGACTTTCTTCTCTTTTTCTTCTTCAACGACCTTCTGCGCCGTCATCGTTTCAATTTCAAACCCAAGAGCATGTGCAACCTCATGTGCAGTAAAGCGAATGTAATACCTCGTATCATCAATTTCTTTAGGGACGAATTTAATCAAAGCAGATGTAGGGCGACCCTTTGTATTTCTAGAACAAATCTTTGGGGGTTGATGTTCATCTATAAGACCCACATAGAGCATAAAATCAGCGTTGGGTATACCTTGTTGATGCTCTTTAGGAATTGAGACATTTGGGCACTTGGACGAAAATTCTTCCTTCCCGTTTAAAGATAACTCCAACTTCTCCCGCTCAACACGGAGACGTTCACTGTGTAGTTTAAGAGCAGCAGGAAGAACGTCTCTTAAAAGCATTATTTTCTTTTTATCTGTCATCGTCTTTACAGCATCGCAGAATTCTTCCTCGTTTTGATCATTCTCAAGCGTAAATCCATATTCTTCGTTTTCCCCCACTTCATCTAGCACTTCATACCGTCTACAGTAAGCCAAAGCTTTATTCATTTCTTTAGCAGAAACGGCAAAGCGGATGGGTTGCCAATTCTCTTCGACCTTCCCAGGTACATCAGTAGCAGAAACGATGTACGTATCCCAGGGACCCTGTCCTTTCTGCGGTAGCGGCTGCACAACAGCTGCAATGCACCCGTAGGCACAACACAGCAAGAGCAGCGCAGTGCACAACAGACGACGCATGTGGATCTTCTTGAAAGCTTACTCACAAAAGAGTGTAGGTTTGTGTATAGCTGTGTCAAAAATAAAAAAAACAGAAATGAGAGAAAAAAAAGAAGAGAAACAGATATGCTCAGTACAGTATAACGTCATGTTGGTCATTACACACAAAGGGATAGAGAGAGAGAGAGAGAGAGATAAAGAAAAGAAACAACCATGCTACATTATTAACTACAGGAATGTGAGAATCTTCTGTCTTGAAAGCGCCTAAACCCATATACCCCCTCAAAGTAAGCCCAATAAAAAAAGAAGCAATGCAAAATTTTAAAGCCCAAGTGTCTGTGTCCATATACACTGTTTAATGCTATTCATTCCTACCATATTACGTTCACATATGCATTAACAAACAGTGGGATACCCAAACTGGAAAAATGAAAAAACAAAACATTTATAAATTATTTTATTCCAAAAAAGATATGGTAAAATAAACTCCATATACCATTAGCAATTATGAGAATTTTTGTTTCCAATGCTGCGAATAACACAGCCAAGCAAGTAAAAAGAAAAAGAAAAAGAACGACCAACTGGCTGCGATGTATGCGGATATACGTGCACAGTCAAAAAGGTCGTAATAAGCAAGAATGTTTATTATTACAGGTACGTGCATATATGGGTAGAGATGGAATTCATGGGGATGCCAGAGCCACCAGAGCCAACAAAAGAAGCAAAAGAGGGATTTGGTATGAAGCGGCAATACTGCTGTCAGCACCCGTAACACCAAAGCCACCCACCTGGTTTATTACTTGTCCCATCTGAGTCTTGTTTAGTTCTGTCAAAGTGGCAGGAACAGCAGATGCGCTTACATTCTCTGGTATGCTCGATGTTGTGTGAATGTTATTCTCGCTGCTTGGAATGGTTTCATTCCTCTTCTCATCGACGGTGGAAACACTTTTTGGATTATGAGTAGGATCCTCTGTGGGTTTTGGTCCATCACCTCTCATATCTTGAGAAGGAGACTGTAATAATGTTCCTTGCACTTGTTCATTGCTTTCAGTTGTATTGTTCTTATCCTCCTCCATTCTGGAGGAAATGTGCCCCGAAACAGCAATGGATTCAGATGCGACAGGCTTGGAGTTGTCAGTGTTGGGCAACTTTTCCACTTCAGGGTTATTGGGACCACTTTGATTCTCTTGTGCAGGTATAGAAGGCTGTTCCTGTTGAAGATCACTGGGCTTCTTTTGTGCAACCATCTGCGGCTGTTGCGGTGAATGATCACCATTATTGTTGTTCTTGCTGTCCAGAGCTTGTTTCTCCTCCCCAGCAGGTTGTAGCTCAGGTACAGCTGGAGGAGATAAAAACCTCCTTTTCACCCTCTGCAGATGAACCGCGTTGGTCTCTTGCCTGTGATGAAGCAGGAGATACATGTGATTCGACATTTTCTTTATCAGCTACAGCTGAACCCCTTTGGTCTACAGCCAATGCAGGAACATGATGTTGAGGCTGGGTCTGTGACGCCAGTCCGGATTGTGTGTTGGATTTCTCTTCTTCTTCCGCCTTCCCATTCGCTTCTTGTTCGTTCTTTTTCCGATCCTCTTCTTCGCGTTGCTTTTTCTCTTGTGCCTTATCTTCTGCTTCCTTTTCTTTCTTTATTTCGAGTTTCACATCCTCATCATATTCAATTGTGAAGTTAATATCCTTAACTTCAGAAAAGTCATTGCAGACCTCAGAGTATTTGGGACACTTTATGGTCCCGCTGCTGAATACCGAGTCTTCTGTGGGCCTTATGACACTCTTCTCATCATTACACTCGTGCCAATTGTCATTGCCCTCGTAGCGGATATGTACTTTGCCACCATCACATCTTACTTCAGCACAAATGTCACCAACGGTAAGATCATTTTCGTTTGGTGTTTTTAGTGTCAGACTGTCACCGTTCAGACATCGAGAGATGTTGCTCACAATACTGCCAGGCATGAACTCCACCTTACCCTCCTCACAACTAGTCATAATAATCGGCTTAATAATGGAATAACCATCCATCAGGTCATTATCAGGATTATTGGCAATTAAGTAATACTGCTCAAGGTAATCATAAGGTATATGAATCGTAGGCTGCTCCTTCGCCGAGCACATTCCGAGCGCAAAACGATCAGATGTGCATTGCAGAGTAGGCTTGACTTCATTACAGAACATTTTAGGTTGATTCTGTATTATTTCGTCTTTCTTTTCTTTTCCACCCTTCAGAAAATCACAACCAGCATCTTTTCCCCAACTCATCGATTCTGCCATGTCAAAATTAGCTTTGTAGAATGGCATAGAATCAAATACGGCAAGTGTTAGTGCTGTGTAGTACGCCCCAGTCACATCTTTGGCGTCAAGATCAGAGGTGTACGGACTCATCAACTCATCCTTCGCAATACGACGCTTCCAGTGTGGAGGTTTCTCTTCAGTGGGTTTATTCTGCAAAATCATTCCCTTTATTTCATTACCATTTGAACAATCATACTGCGCTTTCATCATCTTATCAACAAGATTGTTGGATTTCACTAAATAGACTAACTTGTTGCCTGCGTTTTCTTCTTCAACGACATCAAAATACTTATTCATCATTTCAGTTTCAAACCCAAGAGCATGTGCAACCTCATGTGCAGCAAAGCGAATAAAATGCCTCGTATCAGCAATTTCTTTGGGAATGAATTTAATCAAAGCAGATGTAGGGCGACCATTTTCATTCTTACTGCAAATCTTCGCGTCGTTAACTGGGTCAGGTGATGATTTAACACCTACATACAGCACAAAATCAACGTTGGGTATACCTTGCTCTTGATGCTTTTTTGGAACTGAGACATTTGAACACTTGGACGAAAATTTATCCACGTCCTTTCTCACCATCAAGTTTTCCTTTTCACGCTCAACACTGAGACGTTCACTGTGTAATTTGAGAGCAGCAGGAAGAACTTTTCTTAAAAGCGTTTTTCTCATATACTGTTTTACCTCGTTTTGTCCTTCGCAAAACTCACTGATTTCCTCGGGATCAAGTGGAAATCCATATTCTTCCTCATCTTTTTTGGGTTCATACTTATCTTCTTCCTGATCTTCATCCAACACCCCTTTAAAATCTTTACAATAAGCCAAAACCCTATCAATTTCTTTGGCAGAAACAGCAAAACGAATGGGTTCGAAATTATTTTTCCCACTATCATGATCAGGAACAGAACCAACTTCAGCAACGGTGTACGTATCCCAGGGACCCTGTCCTTTCTGCGGTAGCGGCTGCACAACAGCTGCAATGCACCCGTAGGCACAACACAGCAAGAGCAGCGCAGTGCACAACAGACGACGCATGTGGATCTTCTTGAAAGCTTACTCGCAAAAGAGTGTGTGTTTGTGTATAGCTGTGTCAAAAATAGAAAACAGAAATGAGAGAAAAAAAGAAGAGAAACAGATTTGTTGGGTACAGTATAACGTCATGTCGGTTATCACACAGAAAGGGATAGAGAGAGAGATAAAGAAAAGAAACAACCATGCTGCATTATTAACTGCAGGAATGTTAATCTTCTTTCTTGAAAGTGCCTAAACCCATATACCCCCTCAAAGTAAGCCCAATAAAAAAAGAAGCAATGCAGAATTTTGAAGCCCAAGTGTCTGTATCCATATACACTGTTTAATGCTATTCATTCCTACCATTACGTTCACACGTGCATCAACAAACAGTGGGACACCTAAATTGGAAAAATAAAGAAAAAAAAAACATTTATAAATTATTTTAGCCCAAAAAGATATGGTAAAATAAACTCCATATACCATTAGCAATTATGAGAATTTTTCTTTTTCTAATGCTGCGAAGAACATAGCCAAGCAAGTAAAGAAAAAAGAAAAAACGACCAACTGGCTGCGATGTAATGCGGATATACGTGCACAGTCCAAAAGGTCGTAATAAGCAAGATTGTTTATTATTATTACAGGTACGTATGTATATGTACGTGTGTGTATAGATGGGACTCATGGGGATGCCAGAGCCACCAGAGCAGACACAATAAGCAAAAGAGAGATTTGGTATGAAGCGGAAATGCTGCTGTCAGCACCCGCAATAACAATGGTGGCCGCCTGGTTCATTACTTGTCCTACCTGAGTGTTGTTTAGTTCTGTCAAAGTGGCAGGAGCGACAGCTGCGTTTACATTCTCTGGTATGCTTGTTGTTGTTGAGTTAGTTGTGTTGTTGTGAGTATTCACAATGGTTTCATTCTTCTCATTATCGGTGGCAGGACTGTTTGGGGAATGAGTTGTATCAACTGTGGTATTTGTTCCTTCATCGTTCCCATTATGTGAGGGAGACTCTGTTATTGTTTCTTGCACATGTTCATTGCTTTCCGTTGTATTATTATGATTAACCTCCTTGATGGAAGGAGTGTCCTCCACAGTATCAGTGGGTTTAGAAATATCTTGGTTTGAGATCTCAGAGGTGGGCATATTTTCCATTTCAGGCTTGGGTGTCTCGGTGGTGGGTCCCTTTGATGCAGATAAAGTGGGTTGTTGCGGTTGAAGACCATCACTATTGTTGATGTTGCTGTTTGGAGGTTGATTCTCCTCCCTACCATGTAGGGCAGGTGCAGCTGGAGGATGTAGATCAACCTCCTCTACACCCTCTCGAGGTAAACCACTTGGGTCTCTTGCCTGTAATGAAGCAGGAGATACATGTGATTCGACATTTTCTTTATCAGCTACAGCTGAACCCCTTTGGTCTACAGCCAATGCAGGA